TTTATTGTAGAGATGAGGTCTCACCAAGTTGCTCAGGTGGGTCTCGAACCCATGGGCTCAGGCAATTCACTCACCTCAGCCTCCCAAAGGTGCAGGATTAGAGGCTGAGCCATCGAGCCCGGCTCATTTCATATTTATTGAGCAGTTACTATATTAAGGCCCTGAGCTGGGTATGAAAAGGAATGCAAAAAACAGGTATAATTTATTCTGTTTTTTCTAAATGCTTACAGTTTAGCTAGGCGACAAGCCTTAGTCACATGAAACAGTTAAGTAACATTTCAAGGATGAAAGTGAAAAAAGTCACAATAGATTATAAAGACAGAAAATGTTTCAGGAATTTAGAAAATAAATATCTCGAAGTAGGCAGATTAGCAGGGGAGAGTCTTAAGAGAAAGTAGGTCCTGCTTTGGATGTTGCTAGATGGCTAGGATTGGGATAACAGATGGAAGGCAGCTGGAAGAATATCCTAGGTCAGAGAACAAACGTAGGAAGTGTCAATGGCATGATAATAAAAAAATAAATGGTAACCGGGCTCGGTGGCTCAGCCTGTGATCCCGTGCTTTGGGAGACTGAGGTGAGTGGATTGCCTGAGCCCGCGGGCTTGAGACCCGCCTGGGCAACTTGGCGAGACTTCATCTCTACAATAAATCCAAAAATTAGCCGGGCGTGGTAGCGTGCGCCTGTACTTCCAACTACTTGGAAGCCTGAGGCGGAAGGATCGCCGGAACCCAGCAGGTCGAGGCTGCAGTGGCCGGAAGCGTGCCACTGCACTCCAGTCTGGGCGACAGAGTGGGACTCAATGTAAAAAAAAAAAAACAAAACAAAATGTTTACCGAGTGTCTACAAATACAAGGAACTCCAAAAACCCCCAGGATACCAAAAGGTTTAAGACACAGTCAGTGCCCTCCACTCTCACTGGGGAGACACAATTTATATTGCTGATTTTTCTCTCCTCTACTATGACTCTTGATCCTGACACAGGACTATGTGGGATTTCCTCCATAATTCAATTACCCAGTGGACATCAACTGGGTGTCCTACAATTCAATAGATTCTGACACCATCTATCTAGAGTTAGTATCACATCCCAAAGGTTAAGGTCTTAGTGCCACAAGACGGCACCCCACTTCACATGCCAGCCACAAGTCCAGGTTGTCACCTATGCTTCTGACCTACTGGTTATAAATTGGGAGTCCCCACAACCCCCTCTTTGGGCTTGATCATTTACTAGAATGGCTCACAGCGCTCAGAACAAAGTTTACTTACTAAATTATCAGTTTATTATAGAGGACAACTCAAGAACAGCCAGATGGAAGAGATGCATAGGGCACAGTGTGAGGGAAGAGGTGTGGAGCTTTCTTGCCCTCTCATGGTGCCACCTTCCTAGCTCAGCCATGTGTTCACCAACCTGCAAGCTCTTGAAGCCCCTCCAGTTAGGGGTTTTTATGGAAACCACATTACTTAGGCATGATTGATTACATCATTGGCTATCAGTGATTAACTCAACCTCCATCCAGTCCCTCTCCTCTCCCCAGAGATCATGGATGGGGCTACAATTTTCAACTTTCTATTCATATGATTGACTCCTCAAGCAACCAGCTCCCCCCCCATCCTTGGGGCTTTCCAACAGTCACCTCATTATCATTAACTCAGGTGTGGTTGAAAGGAGCTTGTTATGAATAACAATGCTCTTTTCACCTTTACACATCTAATCACTTAGGAAATTCTAAGAGTTTTAGTAGTTCTGTGCCTGGAACTGACCAGAGACAAAATATATATGTTTCTTATTATAAATTATAATATCACAATGGTAAAAATGTAGATAACCTTGGAAAGTGACAGGTAATAAGTGCCGATGAGTGCTTCAGTAAAGAGTTAACCCAGGAGGACTGGGTTGCTCAAATTCTGCATATTCTGAGTTTTCAGCACTGGCTGTTGGCTGGCTCCTGGGAGACAGATGTCTCTGAGCTCATGGAGTGTCCTGACCGATGATTGTCTTTGTGGCCTGAGATCTTGTGATATACCATATCAGTTTGACTGTGGGATCTGGAGACTGAATGGCTAAGGTCAGTTATATGAGCAATGCATGACTATGTGACTGACTCCAATACAAACTCTGGACATCAAGACTTGAGTTGGCTTTCTTGGTTGGCAACACTTCACATGTGTTGTCACACACTGATGCGGAGGGAATTAAGTGCTGTCTATGTGAATCCACTGGGAGAAGACAACCAAAAGCTTGCACCTGGTTTCTCCTGGACTCCACACCATGTGCCTTTTTCCTTTGCAGATTTCAATCTGTGTTTTTTCATTGTAATAAGCTGTAACCACCAGGATAACAGCTTTTTTGGGTCCCATGAGTCCTTCCAGTGAATCATTGAATCTGCAGGTGGCCTTGGAGTCTGACACACAAGTTAAATTAAATGCAAAGCTTTGTTTCCCACAGGGATTCAGGCAAGTCTGTTTTCAACTTATTTGAATTCTTTGAAGATTATTCTTGCAGGTAGTGCAGATAAGTGATCAGCCTCATGGGGTTGGGCTTGTGATTCCAAAACCTGTCTTTCAAGGCTAGTGGACTCCTCCCTGGAAAATAAATAGTACCCTTCCTATAGACTAATTTTTATGAGAGGGAGCAGAGCTTCTATCTAGAAGTCCTATAGTGAGAAGGATTACAAGCAAGTTCATAGTCATCACAAATATAGTCATTTCCTCTGGCTTCCTGTTGTTTAGGAATGGGCTTATTTTGAGTCTTTGTATTTGTCCATAGGTACATGCCCGTCTTCAGGTCTTCTGAAGGTCCCTTTGTCCCCAGGATCTAAGGACTCCTAATTCCAGTGTTAGAAAAACCCAAGATGAACCCTTAGTGCCTATGGGTGGCATGTTTTAGCTATTCTTAAAGGTCCATTAGCATGAGGGTAGAATTAATTCAGCTAATTTATTCTCCCCTACCTCCCGAGCCCAAGAAGACAATGAACTCTCAGGTTATGTGGGTCAGAAAACTTTGAACTACTAAAGCAAAGTCATTGTCTTTGACTTTTCCTACTGGTGGCTTGGTTGCATGAGCTACAAGGACGTCTAGTGCACCAAGCCCAGAATTCTGGCAGGATTTGGAGGAGAGAATGAATGTCCTTTCAATCTTTGTTCCCAGCTGACTTCATTTAATTTCTCATTCAATATTCACTTAAGCCTTCCTTAAATTCTTTTCTGCCTAAATTACCTCTTAAGTTAGTTTCAGATGCTTGTTTACTCTTTGTGTATAAAGTATTAAGAATTGTAAACTTTTTATTAAAACATTTCAAACACAGTAGGAAGAGTTATTTAATAAAACCTCCTGGGCCCATCATCCAGTTTCCATGATCAAATTATAACCTCTCTTGTTTCTCCTATAGTTTCATGCATACCTCCAAATTATACTCATATTTAAGCAAAGCATCTCATATTTTCATCTGTAAATATTATAGAATGTATGTCTAAAAGACAAGGGGCTTCCTTTTTTTCCTGTTTGTAAAATTTGATTCGGAGTCTCACTCTGCCACCCAGGATGGAATGTAGTAATGTAGTGGTATAATCACAGCTCATTGCAGCCTGGAACTCCTGGGCTCAGGTAATCTTTCTGTCTCAACCTCCCAAGTAGCTGCAACTACAGATGTATGCCACCACACCCAGCTTTTACATTTTTTGTAGAGATGAGGTCTCACTATGATGCCCAGGCTGGTCTCGAACTCCTGGGCTCAAACAATCCTTTCACTTCAACCTCCCAAAGTGCTGGAATTACAGACATGAGCCACTGCACCTGACCCCCCCACCTTTTTTTTTTTGAGTCAGAGTCTCACTGTTACCCAGGTTGGAATGCAGTGGCACTCTGCTCACAGCCACCGCAGCCTTGACCTGCTGAGCTCTGGCGATACTTCTGCCTCAGCCTTCTGAGTAGCCGGAACTACAGGCACGAGCTACCACATCCGGCTAATTTTTGATTTATTGTAGAGATGAGGTCTCGCCAAGCTGCCCAGACTGGTCTCAAACTCCGGCTCAGGTAATCTTCTCACTTCTGCCTCCCAAAGTGCTGAGATTACAGGCATGAGCCACCATGCCCATCTTCAGAACAGTGATATTCTAATTCTAATTTTTTTCTTAATTTATCAGCTGGAATACTCTTATAAATAGAAATTCCCTTCACCATTCTTTGCTTAACATGAGACACATTATATACAAGAAAGACAGAATTCATGCTTGATTAATTTCCCTTATTACCAATGTTTAAATTAACAAGTTAGTTTAATAGTATTCTTCAAAGGTGACTGATGAGGTTTTAGAAAAAAAATCACACTTAGACACATGATAATCAAACTGTATAAAGACAAAAAAAAAGAATCTTGAAAGCATTAAGAGAAGGCTGGTATGGTGGCTCACACCTATAATCCCAGCACTTTGGGAGGCTGACGTGAGAGGACTGCCTGAGCCCATGGGTTTGAGATCAACCTGGGCAACGTGGCAAGACTTCACCTCTACAATAAATCAAAAGATTAGCTGGGCATGGTGGCGCACGCCTGTATATCCAGCTACTTGGAGGGCCAAGGATGAAGGATCATGTAAGCCCAGCAGGTCGATGCTGTGGTGGCTGTGAGCATGCCACTGCACTCCAGCCTGGGCGGCAGGGTGAGAACTTCAAC